GTGCAGCGTGCTCGGACGCTGGCGCCGGTCATTGTTGAACCTGTGAATCACGGCAGTCGTCGCCGCCGTCACTGACCTGACCCAGCCTAAATCAGTCAGCTTCTAGCCTTGCCTAAGGGTAACGACCTGGCTGACCACACCGTGCATGTCGGCTGGAGGTTTGGGGAGCTTAAGCACTCATGGCATGCGGCTACCGTGGTGCGTTTCTTTGCCAATGTGTGCATGTGATAACGTGTGTGTTCATCAGGTGCGCTTGTGCACGGTAAGCTGCATGTGCCAATGGTGATTGCGTTTGTCGCGACAAACGCTGATAACGGGTAGATAAGTAAGGGGAAGACGGATAGTAGGTGTGTATAGTAGCAAATGAGTTCATTACTTTTTTATTAGTTTATCTATATTTTTATTCAGTAAGTATGTAAGTGAGTGAGAAGTAAGTAGAAAGTGAGCAGGACTTCTTGCATGTTGATCATTTGGTTGAGGCCGTGCTTAATTGTGTCAACTAAAATTGGTGTACACTTGCTACAATGATGTTTTTATAGTTTGGTGCTTTAGCAATCTTAACATGAGCTTGGTGTATTGTTCATGCTGTGGTTACCTACCAGGTACTCGTGTCTGTTTGCTTTTATCGGGTCGTCCTGTTCGGTAAAAATGAATTAACCTACCAGGAATATGAGTTTAATCCTGATACTAAAGGATATTGTTTCACGTTTTCATGGGATCTGAAATGAGAAGCACATATTCGAAATCATGTTGCTCAAAATTATGCCCTTTAAGACATCGCCTCTTCTCGTTGCTGTGCTAGATGCGTACTAAGTTGTGCTGACTTTCGCGTCGCCAATTTCAAAAGCAACCAGAGATGTGCGCCATAGAGATGTCAGACGAATTCTGCCTCTTCAGTGGTTATACTGTGTTCAAAGTCAGGATGATGAAGTTATTCTTGGTCTCTGGAAAGCGAAGGCACGAATAATCACATCAACTGATTGCAGTTGGCTTTCACCCACCTTAAAACGCTAAATGCAGGTATCGGTCACAAACCACATTTTGTGATACACCATACAGACACCTGGGCAGTCCCACCAGCTATGGTGGACATGCGGCTGAGAATCAAATAACTGAAGAATAGCACCGGAGCCGGAATATAAACGCAGGTTAAACGTTTAACATCACGAACAAATATACAAGAACACTACGAGTAGGGGTCAAAACACGCGACACATAACGGTCCTCGGGTCTATCGCTCGTGCCTAAATTAACAAGCCACCTTACGGCAAGTTGGAGTACTACAAGGGAGCCAGGCCGTCCGCTACAGTGGCAGTTCTCACACGACCAGTCTTGCAGCGACTCTGACGTCATAAAAGCGTGACATGACGCAATCAAACGATGACGTATTGAGGACCGTATCTATTAGATGGTGAAACTGTGTTATCTAGAGTAGTCGCTTTCATTCAAAAGTATACAAATAGTTACAAGTCAACTTTTCCATTATATCTGATGCTCGCCACATATCTTCAAAGATGGAGCATTTCCTTGAACGGAAAGCGGGCCGGAAGTAGGCGATTGAATTTGGGGGCTTGATCATGATGATCATAGTCATTGGTGTTTCAGGACTACGGTCATCACATGCCATCTTGAGCACGTGAGTTTTAAATATCACGTCTCTGATGCGCGCAGTATCATGAGAAGAAGCAGCTATACAACATTTGGACCAACAGAGTAGCAAAGTCTAATGGAGTAAGTTCCACACATAAAACAGCAAACAGCAAAGGTATGCAAGGGTAACTATCGTTCATGATGCGTGATGCATAAGGTTTGTACTTAATGGTCGAAGCCGAGGAATCTCGTCCAGCTATGGGGTTGAACAACTTGAATACCCCTTTTCATTCACCTCCTTGTCATTATGAAATTGTCTCTTATCATTCTTTCCATGCAGGGTTAGCTTGTAATAGCTGCGCGTTTCAAATCACTGGGGTACAATTAATTGTTCTGGTTGTATTTAAAGGAAGTGTTCCGCATCTGCATGGGCCTTTGAGGACCTTTCGGTACAGTTCACAGCCCCGCTCTTCTTGGGACCTAAATCCCTCTAATTTCTGAGCTACGCGCCCGCGAAAAAAGAGAGCATTTCGGGAAAAGTATTTCTAGCTCGGTTTAGCATTCATGACGTCATAATAACGGCATTTAAATCTTGCCGTTCCATAAAACGTGTCGCGAGCAAGGTCAAGGAATATATTAGGGTCGCGACGTTCATATATGGCCTTCTTGAGCACCATTTGCAGATATGGCGGCCGTCAGTTGGCCCTCAATCAATGTTGCGTAAGGTACGATGACGTGACCAAACCATGACGTATTGAGGAGCATATTTACTACACAGAGAAATTGTGTTTTCTTGAACAGTCCTTTCTACTTACAAGTACACCAACAGTAATAAAGTGCGCTTGTTTCATCATATCTGATGCTTGCTCCAACATCTTCGAAAGTGAAACATTCCCTTTGATATGGTCCAAACATGACAACTCCACTTTTCCAATAACGTCGGTTCCCGAAGGTACTCGAAGTTACCGGGAATTGGATCTCAAAGGCCCCGGTGGTAAATGCTGTCATACATAGTTTTGACGTCTAATTTTTCTCAATTGTTCCAGGCCAAAGTCCACAAAGTCGCCACGCGAATGTAGTTTTTTTGCACGGATGTTTCATATGGATGCAACTGTGATTAATATGCTAGCAGCGGATGCATTATCTACTCCGACATCTTTCTGTTTTTTGCCGCCGAGTGGAGGCCGTCAAATACCAGGCTTAACAGAAATCTTCAACATTTCATCACCATTTGTTGACATTTTTGCCTAAGCCATTTTACAATGCCATTGTTCTGTTTTCGTTTTATGTTGGTTGAATAGTAATCCCTTTAAGAATCATATTGTCCAGATAAGTAGATTTTAGCGGCGACAGAATGTTATGAGCTGTCATCATGTTCGGCTTGTCTGACGCTGAGGAATGTACCGAGAAAAACTTAAAAATGCGGGTCGAATTAGTTTGCAGACTCTGGCCAAAAGCGATGCTGAGGCGGCGTCATCCTGCCCAAGCTCGATCGGGGTGCAAGGAAGCCAAAAGGCCCCTCACGAAGAGGTATGGAAACTCGGGCAGACCGGCAGCTGCTTATTTCGAGGGAAGTTCTGAGGACGGTCTCGCCCAACATCATTTGATTTGCGTTTATTTGAGGCGCGCTACATACAGTATGCATTTTGGGAACGGGAAGGGAGCGACATCTACCACCGGAGGGGAGCGCCCGCCTGCAGCTCTGATACAACACTGCTCGGATCCGGGGAACGAAATCAAACTGAAATGATGCTAGTATGATACGCACGAGAAAGGGCATACGCCAAGCTCATCTCGCTAAAACACTCGGGTGCGGCGATTGCAAGCAGCTACATTTTAAAGCTCGGCTGAGTTCTCGAGGATCACAGTTAGTAGTCGCGTTTTGTGCTTTAAATTGACGCTTTAGTCGGGGTATCCAATAAACCATCCGAAAAAGAGCATCATGACTGCATCATCCAGTAGATCCAAGACGATGTAGTTGAACAACATTGCTGCCACGTCCGCCAACATTTCGTGAAATGTACAGGGAGATGAGGGGCTGCGGTGCGCTGAGTCTCGAGATTCAGCATCAAGCGCCCACGGAGCACCCAAATTGGAAGATATCGGAGTTCCCCACGGGCCGTGCGATCGCGAACGAACCGGAACCCCCTTTACCGGAATCGGAATGAACCGCAAATAAGGAGCTTGCTACCTTAGAGAAATCCGATCATGACGCCGGCAATTATTCAACCCTCGCCGCAAACGGTAGTGGGTAGAACCTGTGCCAGACCGACGTTGTGGCCGGGTTGACGTCATCGGCGTTTTTACTAAGCTGCCCGTGGAAGAGGCAATAACTGCTATCTATAACAGGATCGGGCATGACGACACGCTGCCAGAATGGAAATCTGAGCATAGTCTCCATCAACCGCCTCACGATGCTCGCCGTCAGCACCGCATACTTCCCGTGGAAAGAAAAGCTCTTGAAGACCTAGTCCGTCCTGATATCTCTGCTGACTGGCGCACCTACCTTGCGACTTACCACCCGTGGCGGGGTGGTTTCCAGCCGCTTTACAAGGTCGCATCCATGACCGGAATGACCTGCAGCAGGCGATCTCACAAAATCTCGTCAAGCATCGTAAGCACTCGACGTTCGATGCGGTTCGGTTCGGAATGTGAGCAAAAAAGCAGTTTGGCATTATGAAGTATTCTGCTTTTGCGGCCTGTGATTTATTAGGGGTTACTGGTTAAACGAATAAACGCCTTTTGACCGCATTGCGATTTTGTGGACACATCGTGATATAACACAATCTTAATAAGATACACAAATCATCGCTTGATAGTTGCGTCAAAGCAGTGCAGGAATGCTCAGCTTGACGCTCAGTATCTCTGGTGTAGTGAAGATCAGTCATCTTCAGCGTCAGATCACTACGCTTGGGTATTAAGATCGCCTTGGCTTTGTGAGCAATCTTACACACACCGCCCAACTCAGACAGAGATATTTCCAACACAGCGGACCATTCTGCGTCTGGTGAGTGTAGACAGTCGCTGGTCTCTGACCGGCACAGACTGCACGGCCAGAAAATGGACGATGGGAAAGGAAGTTGTAAGTAACGGATATGAGCCGCTGTGCAAATTTAAAACAATCCCGGCCAGCACTTACATATTTATGCCGGACATTTCTTATTGGCAACCATTAGCGAGAGCGCCCCCGCTGTGCGAATCAGATAAGCGACGGCGTACGCCTTTCAAGCTTGCGTTCCACACCGTGCGGCCGACGGAAGTGGTGTTATTTAGTGGCCACCCAGTGCGGGCCGGGCGCGGAAGCGCCGCCATAACCAGCGGCGCGCTCTGCTTGCAGCACGGCGCGGGCGCCTCTCCGACCAGCGGCCGCGCGCCCGCCTCCCACGTGCACGACCGCACACTCACATCGACGACGTATATTTAACAGCAATCATCAAGCCCGGCCGACGGCTGGAGCATCATAATCAACACATCTCTGCCGAGCGGCGGGCGATTTTGTACGGGACGGCGCGGTGGCGGTCGGCCGACAGTGCCGAGTCGTGGGAAGCGTAGTCGTTCGCCAGCCACCATGACGCGGCACAATGGTGACATCCCTGTCGACACACTACGGCGGGCGACAGCTCGGACCCGTCAGTCGACATTCCGCGCTGACGTGCGGCAGCTTCCTGCAGCGCGCGGCGGTGCGCCGCCCGCCGCTGGCGGGCGCCTGCGACGCTAGGTCCAACTAGTGTCATCTATGGAGCGGGACGAGAGGCTGCACTGCTCCAGCTGCTGCAAGATGGCCTGCAGGTGGGAAGCGCGCCGCCGATACTGCCGGTCGATCTCGTCCAGCTTAGATTCGATGCAGCGTATCTGGGTGTTATCCTGGGAAACACATGCAGCCATGAGCCCACTCATATTCATCTGACAAGAGTTCTACAGTGGACTAAACCGGACAAAGATTACGACAAAGGCAATATGAGGCCGGCCACATGACCTCCCGGATCCTCCCGGATCCTTGTCGACCCGGAGCGAATTGCATTTGGGTCTGTAAGGTGGCATATCCGCACTTCCTTCCTCGCACACGATTCATCCTGAGTTCTCGCAGCTCCCCAGTTATCCAGTAGTATCCCTCACTGGCGGGAGCCCCGACCAAGCGCACGCACACACCCCGAAGAGAGGTCCCTGGGTGCGGTAAGTTTCGGTAGCGGCTGGATGCATTCGGTCTTGCTCCACCACCCTAAATCTCCCTCATCGCATAGCTCTGACATGGCCATTGCTATCCAAAAAGGGCTCCAATCTAAAATAAAGCCAGAAGTAATAAATCATTCCTGCCAGAAAATGTTTGGGCGTGTTTGATGCAAACCTTAAAGGGTGGTTTAGAAGCGTGCTATGCTCACTTAAATGGGAATTCCCCCTTGTGTGTGTTGTATTTCTTTATGAAAAAGCCCTAAAGCTAGTAGCATCATGATGCCGTACGGCAACAAGTGACACCCTGAGCGGCGTTTCGCCTAGTGTTCAGACATGCTACTTGCTGTAATGATTGATTCTGTCGCATGTTTTTTTATCTCCAGCTACGTTTTATATATATATATATATATATATATATATAATTCACAAACGGTCTCTTGAAATGACAAAGCCTCCAGGTAAAGCATCTCCCGATATATCCCTTCATTCCCTTCATTTGGTACACCTCTCTGGCCGGTCTCTCTGAAGACGAGTTGGACACATTCCTGTTGCAGAAAATACTCGAGGATCAGCCGACACTGGGGCACCGTGAGCAGGTCAGAGGGAGGGGCAAATCGACACTGGGGTGCCGTCAGCAGGCCAGAGGGAGCGGCAAGTGACATTGGGGTACCGTCAGTAGGTCAGAATGAGTGGTACGCCGACACTGGGATACCGTCAGCAGGTCAGCGGGAGGGTAGGCCGACACTGGGGTGCCGTCAGCAGGTCAGAGGGCAGGGCGATCGGTTGTTGTTGTTGTTGGAGTTTTAGGGCGCGTCGACTACTGCGGTCATTTTGCGCCCATAACAGCCCAATGACTAGCTTCGGAGTGTGACTATGAAATGACTAGAAAATACGTATTATTCAGAAATATAGACGGCTGAGTTGTACCAGGAGCGCGTCATTGATACGAAATTTTTGGCAGCCTAAAAACTTCGTACACGCGGTATCAACTATTCAGGCAGGCGTATATAAAGTGCAGAACTTAACATGCGATACAAACCTGAGGGTATGTTCGATATATGGTGACCTGTCACATAGTAAATCGGAGAGCGCCAGGGACGGCGCCGCCGGGCCAAAGTACCTCAGACGCTCGACGCGTAGTGTGGGACAGCATACGAGCACATGTTCCACTGTGAGCGTGGTGTTGCAGTGGCGACATCGTGGTAGTTCGTCGTGACATAGAAAGTGTCGATGTGTAGCATAAGTATGGCCGATCCGCAAGCGACACAGGGTTACTTCTTCCCGTCTGGACTTTCGATAGGATGACTGCCATTCCTCAACAATCGGTTTAATGCTCTTCAGTTTGCTAGTGCCCATCGCATCCCATGCGCTCTGCCATTCCTCGCGCAAAAAGGCAGAGATGGCCGAGCACAGGTCTGTAGCGGGTATCGGAAACACTCTGCGACAGGGACGACGAGTAGCACGCTTTGCGGCGGAGTCAGCCAGCTCATTTCCCGCGATGCCAACGTGGCTCGGGATCCAGCAAAGTACTACGGTCTTGCCAGCCCGGTACGGAGAGTCGAGACGCAGTAAGATATCCTGTATAAGGGGATTTACCGGATTAAAACACCTTAATGCCGAAAGGGCACTTAGGGAATCCGATAAAATTACGTGCAGACTGTCTTCGCCCACCTCTATAAAACAAAGCGCCTTAATGATGGCCACAAGCTCTGCAGTATACACGGACGCATGGACTGGCAGTGTAAATGATCGCGTATCGGGACCACACACAAAAGCGGAACCAACACCCGTATCCGTTTTCGAGCCGTCTGTATACGTCATTGTGAACCCCTGATATGTTTCGATATGCTTCAGAGCTGTTGATCTGGCAAAGTACGGAATCATATTTTGCTTCCGAACCTCCGACAATGAGACGTCGACAGTTGGCGATACCATCACCCACGGAGCGGTCGGCAGGCTACGTGGGCGTGCCACACCCCGAAAACTTAAGCCGCTCTCATGAAGAACATTACGAACACGCACACAGAAAGGCGCCACACGTGTTGCTTGTCCGGACTGAAAAACATGGGATGTATGGCGTGAGAACACGGCGTCATGTGTTGGGTGGTTCGGGAATTGCGCGAGCTTACAAGCGTACCGCATTCCCAACAACTGTCTTCGGGTAGCCAGCGAAGGTTCGTTGGCTTCCACAAGCAAGCTGGCTGTCGGAGACGTACGAAATGCACCAGTAATGATTCTCAACGCAGCATGATGGACCGCATTCAAGATGCGTTTTACGGACTCAGAGGCGCCATCATATACAACACACGCATAGTCTAGCTTGGAGCGTATCAGTGAACGGTATAACAACAAAAGTCCGATCTGCTCCGTACGATGTTCGTGCCACACATTTCAGTATGTTCAGTGCCTTAAAACACTTGTCACGCAGAGTGGTAAGATGCTCCCTGTAGGTCAAACGCTTATCAAAATGTAATCCCAAAAACCGTGCCGCCGTATTGCAGGGGATCGACTGTCCATAAAGCTTAAGTACCATGTCGGGACATTGACGCCGGCGTCGACAAAAGTGGACGGAAACTGTCTTCGAGGTGGAAAACCGTAACCCGTTGAGCATGCTCCATCTTTCCAAGCGAGCCACAGCCAACTGCAACTGGCGCGACATGGACGCTGCTGTGGCAGAGCTGCACCAGATGGCGAGGTCATCAACAAAAAGCGAGCGACCAATCGCCTGGGGAAGACTGTCCCCAACATCATTTATCATGACGGCAAACAACGCAACACTTAGTACACTGCCCTGGGGTATGCCGTTCTCTTGTGTGTATCTTTTCGAGCATACGGAACCGACACGGACGCGGAAGAAACGGTCAGCAAGAAAGTTCGCAAGAAAGGTAAGCATAGCTCCGCGTATGCCATACTGGAGCAGCTTCCGTAAGATGCCATATCGCCAGGTGGTGTCGTAAGCCCTTTCAATATCGAAGAACACAGCTCCAACATGTCGCCTTTCCCTAAAAGACATGCGCACAGTTGAGTCCAAGGCTAAAAGATGATCAACGGTGCTACGGTTTTTCCTGCAACCACACTGTGCGTTCGAGAAGATATTGTTGCTTTCTAAAAACCAAGACAATCGTGTATGAACCATCCGCTCCAGGAGTTTGCACATACACGAGGTCAGCGCAATTGGACGGTAGTCAGATGGATTCTTCCCATTCTTGCCAGGTTCCAGCAACGGAACTATAAGCGACTCCCGCCAAGAAGTGGGGAACTCCCCCGTTTCCCACAACTGGTTGAATGCCACCAACATAGCTTGTGTCGCTGTTGGTGGAAGTCGCCGGAGCATATCATTATGAATTAAATCCGGGCCTTCTGCCACGCTGCGCAAAGAGCTAATGGCAGACATCAGTTCAAACATTGTGAAAGGTTTGTTATATGAAAACTCTTCGGCTGTATGAAAGTTTATCTGGGCTGCTTCGCAACGAGCACGATGGCGTATGAAATCAGGAGCGGCAGTTGTCCGCCCACAACGCTCCGCGAACGCACGAGCCATTTCGTTCGCCACCTTAGAGGGGTCCAGTATGTCCTGGCCATTCATATGAAGTACGGGGTGCGGCACTGAGGACTGTTGGCCTGCTAAACGCTTCACCCGCGCCCAAACGACCGAAGTCGGCGTTTGGCAATTTAGCTGGCCCACGTATAAACGCCAAGACGTACGCTTGGCTTCCCAGACAGTACGTCGGGCTGCCGCCCGAGCTCGTCGAAAAGCGATTAAGTTGTCCGTAGTGCTGTGTCGATCGAAGTCTCGCAGGGCTTTTTTTCGCGCACGTATAGCATCGCGGCACTGGTCCGTCCACCACGGAACAGGGGGACGACGTGGGACACCAGATGTACGTGGAATGCTTTCTTGTGCCGATCGTAAGATTGTGGAGGTGAGTTCTTCTATCGATGCAGGCACATCCGCCGAAACGGAAGCCAACCTGGTTTCCACCCGTGCCTGAAATTCATCCCAGTCAGCCTTTCTAAGATTCCACCGTTGTGGCCTGGAACCGAGAGCTGCTCCGTTCTGGTAGCGCAGCCAGATGGGGTAATGATCGCTGCCTAAGGCGTCGTTGTCAACGGACCATGTCAGGTGTACCGCCAGTTGGGGGCTTGAAAGACTCAAGTCCAGCGCCGATGTCTGGCCTGACGGCAGCGTCATGTGAGTTCGGGTCCCGGTGTTTAAAAGACAGAGTGATTCATCACGTAAAAAAATTTCGCAATGCCTGCCGCGGGTGTTGGTCTGGGCGCGGCCCCAAGATGTGTGGTGAGCATTAAAGTCACCCAGCAATAGAAGAGGCGGGGGAAGCTCGGTCACCAGAAATCTCATTTCTGCCGTCGGAAATGGAATACCAGGAGGTAAGTACAGCGAGCAGACGGTTATTGCACGACGCCCGAAAAGTATCTTAGCTGCAACAGCTTGCAGGTCAGAGTGTAAGACGACGCGCTGGGCAAAGACACTGTGGTGCACAGCCAAAAGAACTCCGCCATGTGCAGTTGGATCAGCTGGCGTATCCCGACGCATTGCGGTGTAGCTCGGGATACTAAAATGAGAGCCGGGTGCCAGTTTGGTCTCCTGCAGGCAGGCGATGGCGGGACAGCGCTCATTCAGAATGACTCTGAGATCGTGTACACTAGTTCTCACGCCCCTGCAGTTCCACTGTAAGATACTTGTCACAAAGCTAAGAGGTGAGGGTAGCCATTACACACCTGGCTCACCAGCACAGCGCGCAGAATATCACAATCAATAAGCCTGCAAGGGGGTGCACTAAAAGGGGGTCAAAGTCACACTTTAAGACGCGACCCGGTTCAAAAGAACTGGGCTGCGCCCGTTGCAGGACCGGACACCTCGGTCTGGGAGGTACGGCTCGATTCCGCAGAGCGGTGCTCCACTCTGGGCCGAATCCTTGGGCTTCCTCCGTCGGATGGAGACGGAGGACCGGCCGGGGGGCGCTTTGTGCCAGCGTGCCCAATCCTGGGTGGTGGAGGGGGAGGACCCATGGATGGGGCCCTGCCAGACGTCTGAGGACCAGCGGGAGGCTCAACTGGTTTTCTGGGCGATGGAGCACCGCTGCGAGGGATGGACTCCTTACCCGCTCCAGACGTACGGTTCGCCGCCTTTGCCCGTTCTTGTTCAGCCAGGCGCGCCCGCTTGGCATCGCGGGCGCGCCTGTCCGCCTCGTGTCGCTCCAACGTTTCTATTGCCAGCCCACATGTGTTCGCTGATGGAGTCGGAGGTGACGAAGGCAGCGGAGCACACGAAGCGGAGGCGGACGAAGGTGGCGAGGAAACCGATGTGGAGGCCGGTGGAGCCCGCGGGCCACGGCCACGCCGGACCACCGTCCAGCCCTCCTCTCCGGCAGGAGACGGCGGTGCCGTGGGAGTCGGCAACGCGGAGGGTGCCGACCGGCCAGGGGGCGAAGAGGTTGCCAGCACGGTCTCCTTCGACCGCTCCAGCGAGGGAGGGGGAGCCAGGGCTGCCAGATTTGAGTCCAGCGCCTGGTTCGTTGACACAACCGAGAGACCAAACGACTTCAAGAGCGCTACAAACTGAGCAGCGGTCATTTGATCAGTGGAGGTCGGACGTGCGTTGGAGGTCTTAGCTTTTTCGGCGTACGATGTTCTTGGGTGGCTCTCCTCGTACAATGTTCTGGCCTCGCGAAAAGAGATGTTGCGTGTGGTTTTAATGGATATAATTTCTTTTTCCCTCACGTACGCTGGGCACGTGCGGTCGTAAGTCGCGTGCGGAGCCTGGTCCTTGTCACAATTCACACAATGCACTCTCTCTGAGTCGCAAAGTTCCATTGCGTGTTCGGAGGAAGCGCATTTCCCACAGGCAGGCTTGTTGCGACAGTACTGTTTGGTATGACCAAATCGCTGGCAGTTGAAACATCGCATGGGGTTCGGGATGAAGAGGCGCACCTTGACACGTGCGTATCCCACACGTATCTCGGACGGCAAGTCAGGGCGACTGAACGTGAGTATGAGGTTGTTAGTGGGCACCAACTCTCCTCCCCTTCTGACGAGGATCCGTCGAACGGCGGTCACTCCAAACTCCGAGAGCTCCTCCACGATCTCTTCCTCGTCAACGTCACGTAGATCAAAACAGTTCACCACGCCCCTGGACGAATTTTTGGTGTTGTGTGATGTCGCTGTCATTGACACTGTTTTTTCCAATTTACCGGCCCCATCCCGAACACTACGAAAATTCAGTTGCTTGCATAGCCCGATTCGCCTCCAGATCACTAGCAAATTCAACTTCTATTTTTCCATCCCGGAGCTTGTCACATCTTATAATTTTTCCAAATTTGTCGCAGCCATTTCTTCTCTGAAACGGTGAGAGGGACGCCAACCTAACCTCTTCACTGTGGAAGACGAGGATCCGTGGTCCGGGGATAGCAGAGTCTTTTCTGCACCCTTGGGTTATCGTGGTCCGACCCCCTTTCGGAGGACGGGTGTTTTTTGAGGTAGAAGATGCCATGCAGAAAGGGTTTTTCTTTCGGCACCGGGGCTCCCCACCCACCTCGGAGCCCAACTGGGGGACGGCCCACTCGCCAGTTGGTGATGGTGCCGCCAGGGCTACCTCGGTGCTATACGGGGCGGACGACGCCTCCCGCACGGCCAGGTGTAACCGGGGAGACCCCTCCCTGTCCTGACCGTGGTTCAGCGCCGCCGCCCCTTGACCCCTTAAGCCGCTGCGCGCGGCCAGGCGCCCCAAGCGGAGACCCGCAAGGAGCACCTAACCGCAACGCGAGCGACAAGCCGCTAGACCCGTGTGGGGCCCCACGGGCCCCCCACGCCCCCGGATATTCTGGCCAAAGTGGAGTGTTGGGACGCGCCGTGGCTGACCCGCACGACGCGCCCCTCAGCCACCAGGATCCGATCAACCCGGGGACGTGGGCGAGGGGGCACGGCGACCCCGATAAAACGAGGATGAGGAGTGGTGATAGGGCCGGATGCGGGAGTGCGGGTAAAGTGGAAGGAGCGGGCGGGACAAGGAGCAGGAGCTCACGTACCGCCAGGGTCGCTACGCCCTGAGAGGAACAGCTTGCGCTGTCCACCCGTTACCGGAGCTGGGACCCGAGGGGGCGCTAGTCCCCTACACCGACCGAAGCCGGTGCCCCTGCGGGGGGCAGGGCGATCGGGCGCTGACCGGGTTCTGCCGGTGTTTCTGTTTAGCCAGCTGCCAGTGGAGCGACTCGACCGTCTCTCGCAGTGTCTGGTTCTCGCCCTCCACCTCAGCGATCAGCCGCGTCTGCTCCTGGAACCTGTCCCACCGGTACTGCGCTCACTTACGGCGCTCACGTTGAAATCTCTGGTCTCTAACGAAACCCAATACAGACAGTGCAAAAAAAAAACAGATAACTGCATCCTTCGGTGGCAGCACGTTTGGTGACCAGACTTCAAGAAGACGGAAGGCGATCAAGCAAAAATCTGATGCGAATGACTGTTTCTGCCGTCTCTCAGTGAACGCGTCACTTGAATTTATGCCACACCAAATCCATCAATACAGCATTACGCATGCAGTGATACCTTCTTGTTCAGAGCGGTCTCCACCTTACGAATTACTAATGCGCCTGCGCACAGAGCTGTATAGATTACACGTAGCACAGCGGGTGCGCCACAAAAGCAGCCCAGGAAAGGCTGAGGCCAGAGGCAGAGTCCAAGACGAGCGTCGCCCACCTCCTGATGGTCTCGCGCAGGTGGCTAATGACGCCCTCCTGCGCCTCCATCTGGGAGCGAACCTCCAGCAGCAGGGAGTCGCTGCGGGCCGACATCATCTGCTGGTGCTCCTCAGGGTGCTCCTGCGCCGGTCGGCAGTCCGTCAGCTGGCGCACACAGGGACGGGCCGTCACGGTCTCCGACGACGACCCGCCCAGCTAGCCGCCTGCGTCACCTCCACCGGTTCTCCTGTCCCCTGGTATCCCCCGTCCTGATATCCTTATCGATGTCACGGACCTCACGATCGATTACAAAGCTCCCGACCAGCTGTTCCAGCTCGGCACCGGAGCCCACGATCTCACCTTCTCCAGAGCCTTCTGTTTGAGCCGCTGGAGTCGCTGCCCAGCTTCCCCTGACATATTGCCCACTAACCGCCCCCTCCCCCTCCCTCCCGACCTTGTGTCCCCACCTTTGCGCGCAGCTCGTTCCTGAGCGCGGTGATCTCGGCGTCCCGCCGCGCCACCTCCTCGTCCCGGTGCACTGTCAGCTGCTCCAGCTGGCTCTTGAGCTGCACGTTCTCCTCTGTCGGCGGACGGCGGCGGCTCGTCACACCGACAGCCAGCGCTGGCGCCCGCGCTGGCGCCGCCGGACACATATCGGAACCGCCAGGCAGTGCAGCCGAACAAAATCATCCGAGTGTAGCAAACGGTTGCTATCATGGGACACGCAACCGATCGCAACGCAACAAAACCGGGCTACTGCCACCAGCGCGGCAGGCCGGGTGGACGCGGCAGTGCGGTGGGCGGTGAGCAGCGCCGCGCGCGACAGGTACCCTCAACGGCGGCGATGGCCATCTGCAGCTCGGTCAGCAGGGTGTCGTCCACGCGGCGCGCCCGCTCCCGGGCCGGGCTGGAGCGGCGGGACCCACCTGCCGCACGGGACACACATGGCTCAGGCGCGGCGGGCGGAGTCAGCAGGAGTGGGTCCCGGGCCGGGCTGGAGCGGCGGGACCCACCTGCCGCACGGGACACACATGGCTCAGGCGCGACAGGCGGAGTCAGCAGGAGTGGGTCCCGGGCCGGGCTGGAGCGGCGGGACCCACCTGCCGCACGGTACACACATGGCTCCGGCACGACAGGCGGAGTCAGCGGGAGTGGGGCGTGGCCCAGCCAGCGACCGGCTGGAACGGCTGCCTGTTCACAGCTCGGCACGTCGCGCCGGGTGAAGGCGGTGTTTGACTGCAGTTTCGGATGCGTCTTGGCAGGCTGCCATCCGTCCAGATCAACATTTTAGGAGCTTCGAAGTCTTGACGCGGCCTTGACTCCTTCCGATTATGGGAGTGGCAGCATTATGCTCAAAATGAGTGGGAGGGCCAAGACGCGTCCGTTAGTGGCCGTTAGTCAGTGGCAAAATGGAAAAAGATTGATGCATGTGCATATGCAACCAACCAATCCGTTCGACCCACCTTCACTTGGTCATTCATCTAGAACGCTGGACGGACAGCCATTAAAAAACTGATCCATAGTGATGATGGTGATTCAAGGTTTTAGGACACATCAACATCAAAGGTCATATTGCGCCCAAGGTCCATGGATTATACACATTAAACCGATAGCAAGTACCACTCAATATGCCCAGAACACGATCAAGGACGACGAGGCAGGTTCACAAGTGGCATCAGTGCCAAAAACAGCCAGGGGCGGTCTCAGCGTCGACCAAAGGGCAGCAGGCGCAGCCGGGCTCACGCACCAGGAGTCTTCTCCGGCGTGCGGGCGGCAGCGGCCAGCAGCAGCTTCTGACGCTCGCGCTGCAGCCCCGTGACGGTGCGCTGGCTCTTCTCCAGCTGGCGGCGCGTCTGCGTCACCAGCCGGTCGCGGTCCGCCAGCTGCGCCTTCAGCTGCCGGTCGGACGCGCCGCGCTCCGGTCAGGCGACGCGGCGCCACCAGCGCGCCGCCAGGTGGCTCTGTACGCGGGCGGCCGCAGTAGCGTAACGACGCAACAGATGCGAGTGCGGCGTTCGAAATAGCGTCGCACACTTGGGCATCGTTAATGAGAGAGCAAAAACATCCAAACCAAACAGGCCACACGCCAAAACCAAACGCAGGTTTGTTCCGCCCACCCGCCGTCGCCACAAGCGGGCAATCCCAGCGCTCCAGGGGGACGCTGAGACAATCAAGCAGACACTAGACAATGCCGGGGAAGGGGGGGGGGGGGGGCACGCGAGCGCGGCGCCGGTGTGGCCAAGACAGCCGTGCGCACGGCCGGCGGAACCCACCCGTCGGACGGCGGCCATCAGGTCCGCGTCGGCGCGCGGAGGCGACGACGACTGCAGTCGGCGAAGCCGGCCCTCCAGCGTCCGCGCCTTGGCGTCGTACGATTTCTATGGCAGCAGACGCAACCGTTAACGAAGCCGGCGCTGTGCGGATGCGTGGGTACGAGGGTGGGCTGGGTACGAGGGTGGGGTGGGTGCGAACGCGTGGGTGCGAGGGCGTATCCTCACCGCCTCATCGGCTTGACTAGGCTGTTATTGCTACAGCGTCACTCACATTGACACAGACCTGCAAACATGACGGCGCAGCACCAGCCAACTCGCACGCAATACAAGTGAGGAAAATCTGCTGAAGCAACAGAACATACCATTGATTACGAGGGGTGTTTCTTGAACTATGAGACAATGCAGTCCGTCCTACCCTTCATGATTTCTCAAACGTTTTCAACCACTTTCGCAGCATCATAAGTTTTCAAAAACAATAAGCGCAATGCTTTTGTAGCTGTGGTGTTGCAGCGCTTGACGTTTGCACGTAGCCCTCAGTTCACGCGGGGATAGCCTGCGACGTCCCACCATCACCGCTATCTAATCTCCCCATTCGATTCACAAGGAATACGCAGTTTTCCAGCTAACAAAAGGACTGAAAAACAGCGGAGGCTGAAGACAGGCCCACACCTCAACGCTCCGGAGCCGAAGATGAAAAATCGGATTGGTAAGCGTGTAAATGTATACCTGCAGACGGTCACGAACTCCCGCGCGAAAAGCATCGGCCCATCTGTTTTGGGGCGTTTTTCAAGGATCGAAGTCAGATCTCAACAACCAGGGCCGATGAACACCTGAAAGCAACTGCATACGGCAGGCAGGTCACTGTACCGACTACAATTCAATATTCACTGACCTGGAAACTGCGCCGACACAAACATCCTACAGAAAGTATGCGTTCTTTTCGGCCGCGGTTGCCAAACCCTAGTCACTGCAAGTGCAAGTCAGGACTTTGGTCAGCTGAAATTGCCAAGCTCGGCCAGACTCATGACAGCCAATTTTCAAGCCACAATACTCGTAAAGCAGTACGAGTGATTCGTCAGTGGAACTCCGTCTGCTAAACCCTCAAAAATCGGCGGATTCCAGACGCGCCGGCGTGGGTCGGCACGGTGTCGAATCCAAAAGCTTGATTTTAAAAGCGTCCACATAATGAAAATTGGTGACTCTTGTCTTTTATCGCTTTGCTCGTCCAACCTCATAAAAGTTGTGTCCACGATGCGCTATTAATCGTAGCTTAAGTCCCGATTATTGTTGCGACTCTTCGTACAAGGCGAGGAGCCACGCTAAACCACGCTCCTAGAACACGCCGGCACGGCACTGGGTCAGCCTACAGATCATCTCTGCATCCGCGTACTCACCATACCTTCATCGGCAGGCTCGTGTCCCTGCCTCCCGTGCCGCGCTGTGACACCCTGGCCGCGGCCCTCCCGGGGACGGGGCCCTCCGCAGCGGCGGCGCCTGACATCGGTCAGACGGCGCCGCGCCACGCCACCCTCCCACCGGTGCCACGCCGACCTGACGCACCGACGGCTGCTCGACTCTCCAGGTGAAATGAGAGCAACCGCAAACTGCTCGCTGAACCCAGCTCCCATGGAAATTGCTGCTGCCGTTTTTCCACCGCCCACCATTGCCAAAGGCGTGCTCCTGGCCACCCGCTGGCCTGGTGCGGCCAGAGCGTTGCCGGTGACGTCACCTTGAGCTCGGCCTCCCTGGCGGCCGCCTGCTGGCCGGCCTCCTGCATGCGCAGCTCGGCCTGCAGCAGCGCCGTGTTCAGGGCGCGCCGCTCGGCAGCCACGGCGGCCGCCAGCCGCTCCGGTGAGGCCGGCGCCGGGGCCGACGCCAGCGTCTCCGTCTGGCAGGCCGCGCTCGCCGTCGGGGGTCGCCGGGGCGTCGACTGGCGCGTCACCTGGCGGCGCAGGCGGAAAACCAGGCTGTACACGGGCGAACGCAGCCGCGCTTGGGCACGTGTCGTGCCGCTCACTCACGAAATCGCCCTCACACCCACATACTGGCTTGCGCACCGAGACCCGCATGTTCATACAGACATACCCAGGCACAGTAGATGGTATGTGCACACAGGCAGGCATGCGTGAGGGCGCAGCCGCGGCGGTCAGGCATCATGTGTCGGTGGGGTGAGACACCAGAGCCTGGGACGGGAGTCGTCAGCGCCGCTGCGGACGACCCCGCTCGCCACCTCGTCGGTCACTCGACGCAACGGGCGACCGCTGCTCGTGAGTCACCGGCTGTCTCGAGCGCACGGGGCCACGATCGCCCCACTAGTCACCAGGGCAGCGCCGGTCATCGGTCAGCAGTCGTCTCATCTAATTGTCGCTAGTGACGCCGGCTCCCGGCACGTGCGACATTCAGACCATGAGCGCGAGGACGCGTCTCGTGTCTCATGCTTGACCTGTGCTTGTGGTCAGTAATGTCGCCAAGGTCCTGAGGTGTCACGCAGTCTGCAGTACGAACAGTCCTGGACTGTGAGGATGTGCATCGAGCTGGCGGCCCGGGACCACGATTAGCCGGCCGCTTCCATGTTCAGATAATGACCTCCATTGTACCTACCACTACACGAGCGGATCCTGCGTTAGCAGCGTCTCGAGATCCGCCGCACTTTGAGCAGTTATACGTCCGAGCAGATCCAGTATAATTTTGAGAACCCGTACCCGAACATTTTCGGGAATGACGTTGGGATCAGAGCCGTCACTAAGCAGAGATTGCTGAGGGGACCCTGACCACACC